TACAATGCCACCTAGAGAAATAGAAAGCATTAGGTACAATACAGATCACTGATGTGCCACTAGGTTCTTAGGCAGTAACCCGATACTAGAACTCTGCCTACTTTGCCTAAGTGTGCCGAGCGCGGAGGTGGGAAAGGAGGCCGTGACGGCTGCAGTGGGACAATAACTGGTCCGTGCTCCATGTCATGCGCAAGGAAAGCGGGTTGGGAGTGGATGTGTGACACTTTCTTCATTAGACAGTGCGCGGAAGTGGGGTGGGAGAGGGTGATGACTAGAGCCTTCGCCTTTGCAGTCAAAGTACGCAAATGCGTAACACGCCGCACGGACAGCCACACGCCTGAGCGTGGCCGACTGCGCTACTTGTCCGCGCCCTTCCACTTTTGGTTGTTCTCTGCTTTCTCTGCGTATCTTCGCGGAAGGTGTGGACGCAAGTTCTGTACATCTAGGATGGCGGGTTTAAATGCAAATGATATCGTACTGTCACCACCCTTGAGCTCATTTCCTGTGCACTTTTGACTGACGAGAGTGTGACTCGTCTACAGCATCCAGCCACTTCGCCTAGCACATAGGAAGAGTCGTCTTTGGAGGTGAGCGTAGCGTTCGTTTTTAGAAGGAAAGTACACGTAAAATCTCAGAAATGTCGAGAAGTCACCTACCGAGTGTCGAAATACCGTAGGAGCTGGGCAGGAGGCTTCCACGTCGTGCTCAATGTCGAAACAACGTTCCACAGTAAATTCGAAGTACACAGGAATGTTGACGGCAAAGCACAGAAAAATCACCAGACCTGCAAGAAGAAGTATTGTCTCAGTCTGAAGAAGGACTCCGGCAAGCGAATGCACTATATAACGCTTCTGTCCTATGCTTACAGATCGTCCCACACACTTCGATGACTAGCGTACTTGCTTTCCACTCAACCAAGTCTATGAGTTAATTGTAGTAACATCAAAAAAGCACCAGAAAGAATGATAGATTTGTTAAGGGGCGATTGTGCAATAGGCCCTCGAAAAGTCTGTAGGTAGAAGGGTCAAAAAACAGGAGGGCATATGCTATGTGACTAACTCGTGAAAAAAGCTGCAAAACCGTGTGTAATGCCCCTAATTAGAACCTTCAAGCGAGAAGCAAATAATTGCTGGGGTTTCGGACTAGAGACCAGAGAAGAGCAGCGAGAGAGCATGCAAACGAGCAGGACGACATACACGATAACTAGCAACGCGGGTGGAGCTACTGAGCAATCTCGCGTCTCAGCGCCCCTGTTTTATAACTTCTCACGCAATACTTCTATAAGCTTGTCAATTACGGTTCCACACTACCTTTTCGTACAGAGAGTTCAAATTTCTAGAAATGACACTGACCTGAGTGTCCCCTCAAGACTCACCTGGTAAAATACAGGATCGGAAAAATTCGCGCAATGGCAGCTGCTCCTTGGTAGTTTTGAGACTGTTTCTGGCCTTCTGCGATCCAGCGGTGGAGTCGAGTTCCGTTACCATCGAAGCTTTCCGTTGCTTTGAACTCTGCAAAGGATATGGTGGTCAAAAATCACTAAGATAGCAGGCGGCCTTGGAAAACAATTCCTTGGTCACACTTTAGATTTTGAATACGTTACAATTTCTGGACAACCCTTCCGGAATACAGGTATAAAATATTCTGGATCAGGGACTTGGTTTATGGGTATAGCTTCGTGGCAAACAGGATCACATGCCTATTTTAACTCTCCGTTGAGACCTGCGTACCAGTTATTGTAGCGTTTCACTGGAGATGCTGGGGCATGTTAGAGGTCTGGAGCGGCGGCAGCTCGTTCTCCAACGTTTGCTGTAGCGGGCAGACGTAGCCAAGCCTATTTTCTAT